GAGCCTAATAAATTGCCACCTTTTCTCCTCACCTGAGTTCAAAACTGAGTGAGACAGAGGGCTCTGGGGAGTGGAGGGCAAGTTATCAGCTCTGTTCCTGGGCCGTGGCGGCACCGGCTTAGGGAGGCGGCCAGCCGTCAGGGTTCCCTATGCCTCATCCAGGACAGACACTCTCACCGACCCAGGCACAGGCACCCCGAAAAGCACAGGGCTCCTTTTGTGGGCACCCTTTACCATTAAGCCTCCCACTGTCGGGCCGAGTGGAAGGTGTGCTCCCTGAGAACACCTGACCCCACACAGAGATGAAGGGGCTGAGCTGTGTGTGCCTGATGCCTGCTCCCCTAAATACCAACCATCAAGATCATTTCCTCTTCTCCCTAGGGCTGGAGCATTAGTCTAACAGAGGTCCCTTCACGTGGACAGGAGCACCAGGCATGGGATATAAGAATTGCCCACCCAACAATATTGTACATATTTATTTAGCAACACCTGATATATATATATATATACACACACACACACACAGATATATATGTGTATATATATATCGATATATCTATATCTAATCACTACTATTCTATACTGTAATGTATAAGTGTGTGGTCAAGTTCCATGCAGTTGAAAGGAATTAGAGAAAGTATAGTTTATGGTAGGATCTGGGCTTCCTGGGTCTTAAGAGGAGATGATCCCGGGCTTTATTAACTTGAATTTGAATGCTCTGAATGCCGCCATGAACTGACAGGTTTCTAAAGGGAAACTAGTTTGTGAGATAGACTACAACTCCACTCCTGGCAGATTTTCTAAACCGTTTCCTACCCGGCCATCTCACAATGAGGAAATCCATTCATATTTCTCCCAGCTAGGCCAATTGCAAATAGGAAACTTCCAAGTTCACGTGCAGCTGTCCATCCAGAGAAGCACTGTGTCCCAGGATGCTGTCAGTGTTGGCATTAAAGACTGGGACACAGTGAGGGCGAGAGCTACAGCTGGAATTAGGGGGTGGGATTGCCTACGCAATACAGTTCAGAGAGAATTACAGGTAGAGTTGAAATGTAAAATTTGACATTTCCCAGCACTTATTACATGAAACATTGCTTCTGCTAGCTGCTTTGTGAATGGCTTCATGGTCAAGTACATTTGAGCAACCAAATCTAAACTGCATATCATATAATAGGCTTCGAGAAGTTGTTTATTTTACTCAGCATTCCTCAAACTAACGTGTCCACGGAACACTTCAAAATATTTATTTACATTTGTTCTGGAAAACACACTGAAAAATTCCAAGTGAAGATTATAGATTTGGGAGCTTCCAGGTCTATTCATGTAAAGGGGCTTTGGAGTTAGATACCCAAGTTCATCCTCAGATTAGCTGTGACAGTGGGTAAACTTAGTCTTGGGCTGTTAATTTCCATCCATAAAATGGGTATCGTAATTCCCATCTAGCACTGCAGTGAATATTAAATAGATATATCCACAAGGTTCCCTAGCTCATAGCATGTACTCAACAAAAGCTAGACTTTTTCCAAAATAAAAGTTAAGATATTTTCCTTTTTATGGACTTAGGTTTTTGAAAGAGAAGTATTTCTTGAGGATAATCTCAAACCCAGGAAATAGTTACAGCAGGATGAGATCTGTACTTCGATCAGCATTTGAGAGGGGGCATAGTATGGGGTAAAAGAGCTTGCATAGGACCAGATATGCCACGCATTAGCTCTGGGAGATTTGACCCAGTGCCCTCATATGTCAAATGCAGATATGTACTCCATGGAGCATTCTGAGGATGAAATAAATGTCTATGTAGTGTGCCCCACAGGCCTGGAACAGCAAATACTCAGGAAATTAAAGGTGACGTTGATAATAATAGTACAAAGCACCATTGTGGAACACTTTCAACTACGCCAGGCAAGGTGCTGAGCCTGGCCGTTTCTTGGAGTGGAGCTGGCAGCCTGCTTCCTCACAATGGACTTCAGAGACGCAGACTCCTGCTGACTCTCAGGCAGTGCAGCCCAGGATCGTGCACTTTGACAAGCTCCCTGGATAATTCTATGGTCACTAAAATTGGAGAACCACTGATTGGGAAGCATGACTGGCAAGAACGTGAAGACCAGATAGACACTGAACTGGAGAAGGATGGACATTAAGGACCCTGGCCTCAGAGGTGAGTCGCCCCGCGATGTGAGTCTTGGGCCCACAAGTTCACCACGCCCCTTTGCAGGAGGGTGCTGGCAGGTGTGGACGAGCTGGCTGGTGCCGGGTGCGGCATTCCTGGAGCAGGTAACAAGAACAGTGGGTGCTGGTTCCAAGTGAGATGTGCAGGAAGGTGGTGGGATGAGCGCCCCGAGAGTAGGTCAGATTCGGTTCCTGCCCATGGTCCAGTTCCCATCCATGAGGCCCTGTGCACCTCTACACCTGCCAGGGAAGCCCATGCCACTTGTATTCTTCAGACTAAGCACGCCTGGTTTGGAAGATTTGGGACAAAGTCTTCTCAAGAGGGGCCTGAACCCCATAATGTGTTCCCTTCTTATGGGAACAGGGATAATACAGCATATAAATGACCACAATCCCTAAGCAAGATCTGCTAGAAGGGCATTAATTTCTTTACGTTCCTTCCAGGATGAATATTGTATGTAACCCCCTTTGCAGTTCTGTTCAGGGACCCTGCTGGTCCTACTCTCCTCTTCTGAAGATGGGCAGTGGTCTCATTTTCTTTAGACTTAACCTGGAACCAAGAAGGCTCCACGTCGGGGTTCGTTTTGTCTTGGCTCTGCTCTTGGGAGTCATAAAAGGTGAGGCAGTGCCCTCCACCTCTGGAGGGCAGATGGCTTGGGCAGGCCCTGCAGACCCCCGCCCTCCACACACACACTCTTGCCTGTCAGCAGGCAACACCGGGGAGCTCAAGACTCCCTGGCATATGATGTTTTCCAGTTTGGGCAGAGCTGAGAACATGTGGAAGACACGCAGCTGTCCCTTGGTTTCTGGCCACTGTCATTAAAAGAATCAAGAAGCACGATGATCAGAGAGAGAAGTCACTCCTACTTCTGGGCAATGCCCACACATAGAAGCTCACATAGGCTTCTGTCCTCGGATCTCAAAACTCTAGGCCGATGCCAGGGCACAAAGCTACGCATCCTTTCTTCACCCAAATAAAGCCCACAGACACTGCATCTTCACAACAAAGCTTGAAACCAGTCAAGCACTTTTATTAAAAAAAAAAAAAAGGAAAAGTCTAATGGTGATTATATATTCTATACATGCTACAGCTAATTGTTCACCGCCCCTCCCCCTCACATTAGGTATTGTCATGTATTTTTTTGTGTGTAAAAGGAAACAAAAAACCACCACCAGAATTTGTCCGTTTGCCAGGAGGGTATAGGAATGCCGGGCGTCCAGAGATCGCCAGCAGCATCCTGTGAGCAGACACGAGGTGGCGGGGCAATGCCATGAGAGCCCACTGTTCCTAGAGGGACACGGGAAACGGTTTCCTTTTTTGGTGGCTCCCAGAAGCAGGACATGTGGGCTGTGGCTAAGGTGACTATAGCTCCTCACCACCCCTGGAAGTGAAAGGGGGGCTATTACAACGACAGGGGCACAAAGGCATGGACAGGCATATGTGGGGGTCAAGTATGGACACCTTCGTGGTCCCAGAATTGCTTATTGCTGTAACGAGCCTGGTGGAGCACCTCCTTGCGTCTACAGAAGACCTGAAAGTGAAGGCTGCTGGCTGTGGCACCGGGTTTGGCTTCTTCAAGGAAACGGAGATTGAGCCCCCTTGTCCCTGGTTGGAACTAGGAAGGCCTCCTTTGGAGCCAAGGATAGAAACGGGGAGGAGGGAATGTTGAAGCACAAGGAGGGGCTCAGTAGCCCGCAGGGTAGCGCCAGAAACCAGACATTACCCCAGGGAGCTGGCATGGTCACGGCTGTGAGCAGGGTCCTCAGCAGGTGGTCCTCGAGTGGACAATGACTGTGCAGCCTCCTGGTTTTAACTCTGCGAAGTCAGAACCTTAGCCAAGTTCAGAGCAATTCCTCCAGGCTAAGGAGGGCGCCCCGTACCCTCAGGCCTCAGTGTGAGCCAGTGACCACTGTTCAGGCCACAGTTTGCCACCAGGTCATCTTTGGTCTCTGGCATTGTATGGCTGTTTGCTGCAAAAGCCCTGAAGGATGGGCCTGGACAGCT